AGTCCCACCTATATTTCCTGCCTAGCCACTGGCCAATCAGTGTTTTATTTATTGACCAATCAGAGTAATTTGACATACAGACCATCCCACAGCAGACACCCCTGACACACACCTGCCCTCAGTGGCTTTCCTTAGTCTCCGAGGGAGATTCCATAACCTGTTTCTCCTGTCCTTGACTCTAAAGCCAGAACCACATGGCCAAAGTTGTCAAGTCCCGCTGCTTGCTAGGGCTGGAACATGGCCCCCTCGTTCAATCACATCTTCACCAGCTTCCTGTTTTCCCATTGTTTCCTTCACTGCCTAAGCCTGGCTGTCCTGGAATTCGATCTGTAGATCAGACTAGCCTCAAACTTAGAGATCTGCCTGCCTCTGCCTTCTGAGGGTTGGGATTAAATGTGTGCCCTACCACACCTGGCTCTATGATTTTCTTTAATTCCTTTGCACAAGTTAGAAACTTAGCTGGGTGGGATCCTGTTCTGAGGTCACAACTTCCTTTATTCCATTTCTTAATCTGTTTATCTCTTGAACACAGGACTTAGCTCCATTCCACTTTCTGGTACCCCTGTCTCCTCAAATGTAAATTTGGCATTTTTCCTTGTTCAGCTTGCTCCTTTTGATTATAGATCTGTATAAGAATAAACACTAATAACTACACAACAAAGTCAATACTGGGCTGTTTTGAAATTTCCTTTGCCAATGCAATTAGTCCAAAACTCTTCAATTTACCGTCAGGCAGACTTTTCAGACAAGGGCAAAAAACAGCCACATTCTCCACCAAAATATCACAAGAATGCAACTGTGTACCACACTTGAACTCAAAGCTCGCCCCCACAGTGACACACTTTCTCCAACAAGGCCACACCTACTCCAAGGCCACACCTCCTAATGGTGCCACTCCCTATGGGCCAAGCACTCAAACACCTGAGTTTATGGAGGTCATTCCTATTCAAACCACCACACAGCCCATGGTGGGTGGTGCTGTGCCTAGGCAGGTGTTCTGGGTTCTATAAGAAAGCAAACCACGGGAAGCAAGCCAGGAAACAGTCATGGCCTCCACATCAGTTCTAGCCTCCAGGTTCCTGCCCCGTGATGATGAGCAGTGCTGTGGAAATATAAGTGGAATGGTCTCTTTCCTCCCTAACTTGCTTTTGGTCATGGTGTTCCATCATAGCAATAGAAAACCTAACTAGGACAAAATAAATAGAAAAATGTTAAATATAACTTGGTTTTTAAATTTCATTTTATGTGTACGAGTATTTGTCTACATGTATATCTGTGTACTATGTATGTACCTGGTGCCAGCAGAGGTCAGAAGAGGGTGTCAGATCCCCTTGAACTGCCATTTCAGAGGGTTGTGAGCTGCCATGTAGGTGCTGGGAACCGAACCCAGCTCCTCTGCAAGAACTAGTGCTCTTAGCCATGGAGCCTTCTCCCCAGCTCCTCTTGTCTTTTGAGACAGGGTCTCACTGGGTGGCCCGGGCTGGTTTCCACTTGGCTATGTACTCAAGGCTGGTTTTGAACTCTGATCCTCCTGTCTAGCTGTCTTAGGTGGTTCTTACCATTTCAATCACCTTCAGGGTTATAACCTCTATTTCACAGATGAAAAACAAAACAAAACAGAAAACAAAACAACCCACGGCCACACACTGAAGACCCAGGCCCAAAGTCCCCCCCTCGGGAGGGTCAGAGCCCTGAGATCCATCATGAGGTCTGCAGGTCACGCAGCCTGCTTGACACACCTGAAAGGAGAATTGGTGACACTTCCAAGTGGGGAGGGACCCACGGGGACCGACTGCGCCACTTCGAAATCTTTGACGTAACCCAGGCTTTCTCAATATTCCGGAAGGCTGCCAGATGCTATCTGGTCCCTTCCCCTATGGCCCTGCTACCCACCCAAGCTCCTGTTAGACATATTTTGGAACTGACAGCTGCAGGCAGAGACCTTGGGTGCTCTCTCCACTGCACCCCAGAACAGACAGTGTCTGCATCAGGGTTTACCAGACTGTGACGTGACATCAGGCAGCCGTGAGGAACCGAAAGTGCGTCTGGAAGCCTTGCTAGTTGTAAAATGGTCTCACAGCCTCGTCTCTGTTCATCAATTCCATTCTGTAAGGTTTTATTCCCACAAATACTGGACTTTAAAACATTCATTATTATTATTTCTTGGTTTTAATTTTTTTGTTTTGTTTTGTTTTTCAAGACAGGGTTCTTCTGTGTAGCTTTGGAGCCTGTCCTGGTACTCACTCTGTAAACCAGGCTGGCGTCAAACTCACAGAGATCTGCCTGCCTCTGCCTCTCAAGTGCTGGGATTAAAGGCATGTGCCACCACCGCCCAGCTCTTGGTTTTAATTTTTATTGCCTGGCTTACACGAGGACTTCTACCACATGGAGGAAGGAGGGAACTAACTCTGGCAAGTTGTTCTCTGACTGCACATTCCAACTGCGGTTGGCACATGTGCACAGTGGCACGCACCCAAGGATCTGGGACACATGGTAGAAGGGGGAACTGACTCCCGGAAGTTGTCCTCTGACCTCCACACATAAGCTGTGGCACACACACACACCTACACACATACATACCTACACACACACACACCTATACACATACACACACACCTACACACATACATACCTACACACACACACACCTATACACATACACACACACCTACACACACCTACATACCTACACACACACACACCTATACACATACACACACACCTACACACACCTACATACCTACACACACACACACCTATACACATACACACACACCTACACACACATACATATCTACACACACACATACACACCTACACACATACACACAATACACAGCTACACTATACACATGCATATACACACCTATACACACACCTACACACACACACCTACACATACACACATACACACAATACACACCTACACACACGCACACCTACACACCTATACACATACACACACACACATACACACAATACACACCTACACCTACACACACACATACACACCTATACACATACACACACATACACACAAAAATACATATCTACACACACACACACACACACACACACACATACACGCACACCATTTCCATGCCTCCATACATATATACATCCACACACAAATGTCTGCATACACAAAATAAATTAGTAAGTGTAATTTTTTTTCTTTTTCTTTTTTCTTTTTTCTTTCTTTCTTTCTTTTTTTTTTTTTTTTTTTTTTTTTCGAGACAGGGTTTCTCTGTGTAGCTTTGTGCCTTTCCTGGAACTCGCTTATGTAGACCAGGCTGGCCTCGAACTCACAAAGATCCGCCTGCCTCTGCCTCCCGAGTGCTGGGATTAAAGGTGTGCGCCACTACCACCTAGCCTTTTTCTTTTTTCAAGACAGAGTTTCTCTGTGTAGCCCTGGCTATTCTGGAACTCACTCTGTAGACCAGGCTGACCTCGAACTCACAGAGATCCTCTTGCCTGTGTCTCTCAAGTGCTGAGATTAAAGGTGTGCCCCAACTAATAAGTGTAACATTTTTTTAAAATGTCTAAAACTTAAATCCACCTGGGATGATTTTAAAATTAGAAGGCTCTGGGTTTTGGGGTCCTAATTCAGTCTCCCAATGGCTAATACAAACACATAATTTTTTCATTTATTTGAAATGATGTCTTTATCAATTCATGAAGTTCTTACACATGTTCAAATCTACTGCTGTCTACTTTGTATTTCTTTTTCTGTTATTCTTTTTTATCACTGAGACAATGCCTAATCATGTAGCCCAGGCTGGCTTTGAACTCAGATCCTCCTGCTTCACTCAGATTCTGACAGCTATGCAGCACCCCACCTGGCTCGTTCCCACCCACTCCACAGCTCCATTCACCTGTCCTCATGCTCCAGCTCCTCACGCGCCAGTACCACACTGTTCTCATGATTATGTCTCTGAAACGTATTTTGCTGTTAGCTTAGTCTGTTTCCTAAGAAGGGAGTCTGATCTAAGCCTCCCCTCCTAGTCAGGGAGGCTGCCATTGAGTGAGAACCCGAGGTGAGGAGGGGTACTGTCCCCCTGAAGAATTCTCTGCACCAATTGTAGGCACAGTGGTTTCACAGTGGACACTCCTCCTGGGCTGAGGACACTCTGGAGGAAACTGAGGCCCAAGTTCTGGCCTTGTGTGGAACAAACCAGGACCCCAGGCATCCGGCAAGACAGAGAAAGAGCAACCAGGGCCCCTTTCTACAGGAAGTTCCTTAGATGGCCGCAGGAGATGGGCAGCGAGGGAGCGGAAAGGGGCGGTTGAGCAAGAGGCAAGACTGGTGACAGTTGCAGAGTGTGTGGGCTCTGTGGGCAGCAGACGGTGACCTACTCACAGGGTCCACGAGCACCGGACCGCCACGGCGACGGCCTCTGAGAGGTGGGAGCCGCCCAGCAGGCAACACTGCTGCTTGCTGGGGCTGGGGGGGTGGTGGTAGTGTGGGTCCATGCAGTAGTAGCTAGCTTTCTCTTTCTTTCTCTCTTTCTTTCTTTCTCTCTTTCTCTCTCTCTTTCTCTCTTTCTTTCTTTCTTTTGTTTTGTTTTTTCAAGATAAGGTTTTTCTGGGTAGCCCTAGCTGTCCTGCAACTTGCTTTGTAGACCAGGCTGGCCTTGAACTCACAGATATCCACCTGCCTCTGCCTCTTAAATTCTGGGATTAAAGGCATATACTGCCAAACTGCACTTTTTTTTTTTTTTTTTCTGATATGGGGTCTTATGTAGCCCAGGCTGGCCTTGAACTCACTATGCAGTCAAAGATGACCTTGAACTCTTGATCTTCCTGCCTCCACCTCTGGAGTGCTGGGAATAGATGACTACGCCCGACTCCCTTCTAGCTTCTGTGACAGGGTGCGGAGCTGAGTGTTGGTGCTTCCAGACTGTCTAAGGGAGAGGCCCCGGCTGTGGGTGTCGTCTCCAGTGAGTGAGAAGGGGGTGGTGGACTTGTGACAGCGGGCAGGTCTTCTGGCTTCTTGGACACTCGGTTTCTCTAGCGGTTAGTGGGCGAAGGTGGGGAGGCCGGCAGAACAATCCAGTAGGACCAGGTGGTTCTCAGGGCCGTTGGCGTGACCGTGGTCGGCCTTTCCTGAGGTAAGTTTCACGCTGAGCTGACTCGTTTCTCAGCCCTCTGTGACAGCTCTGGCAGATGTCCCCTGCTCCTTCCTTCTCAGTTTCTCTCCAGCTCTTGATGGGAGGCCTCAGGGCTCTGCTTTTCCAGCTGAAATCCGAGGCTCCCATCGTGGAGCCCGGTCCTGAAGATGGCCGGCAGCAGGGCCCACAGGCTGGCTGCCGAGTTCTCCTCAGACTTCGGGAGAAACGTGGGAGACGCCTGGGTGTTGAGGGGCTGTGTGTGTTTCACTGGCCGTGAGGGGCCTCTCATTGAGCAGGGTGTGCCGGAGACTGCTGCGGAGGCGGGGTATGATCAGAGAGCACCCTGCAGCTGTCTCTAAGGGTTCGGTTCTGGCCCTGGGTGACCACAAAAGTGTCCTTTGCAGTCACCGAAGGAAGAGTAGAGGGTGTTGTCTGAGAGCTAACTATGAGGGGAGATGGACGATAACTGAGGAGAGAGACAGAGACAGAGACAGAGAGCGCGCATACACTCATGGACTCACCAAAGGAGGTCCCCACTGTCTCTCAGTGGCCATTCCTGCCCGTGAAAGGGGCACAGACTGATTTAGGGTATGCTGTAAGGGAATACGGGAATGGGGCAGCGACTGACACAGATGTCCTGATCTATGGTGACCAGTGCTCTGGAGACCTCACTGGCTGTCGGGGACAGGCCGACTCCCTTCCCTGGACTTCCTCATGGTCTAGCCACTGAGGTCCCTGCCTGGTGGAGCTAAGTGAGGTGACCCTTTCCTATGAAATGCCAGGGCAGGCTGGGAACGCTGCAGAGGGGAGCTGCCCACATTCCAGGGGCTCATTTTGGGATTCAACCTCCTTTGGCTGTGAGAGCCGGGCTGGTAACACTTATGCTTCTCATGAGGGCTCTCCCCCGGCATGGGCTCTGGGAGCCTTATCTAGCTGGTTCTGTGTGCTAATCAGCTCGCAGGAAGTACTGTGAAACTGCCCTGACTTTCTGCAAGGCCAGTACTTACTGCCCAGGAAGCACAGCTGGACCACATCTGGACAGCTGTGAAATCTTTGTCCCTCCCAGGGCTGCTTCCCTGGGCATCTGAGTCCCCTCCCCAACTGCAGTGTCATGGCTCCAGAATGCCTTGGGGAGGTCCATCTCCGATGAGACAGACGGGCAGCCAGTGCCCTCAGCTTTGGGTTGGATCTGCAGGGAACGCAGCTGCTGTTCGGACTGCTGTGAACTCCACCCTCATCAATGACATCACCACTGCTGTCACTGCCTTTACCCAGCAGTCCCTGAGGGTCAGACACAGGGCTTGATCAGAGTCAACAAATATTTGCTAGGCGCCAGCCGTATGCCAAGCACTGGTTTACAGTTCAGCAAAAGGAGATTCCAATTTACAGAACAAATGATAAAAGGCATTTCTGAGAATGGAAATCGAGATAAAGTGGAACCAGAAAGGGGGTGCGCCATGCTGGGGGTGGATGGTTTCAACGTTAATTGTCATGTTGAATCCTCACGTGGTTCTGGTGGTAGATGTTAGTCTGATAGTTCTTTTTATCGTGTGTGTGCGTGTGTGTGCGTGTGTGTGTGTGTGTGTGTGTGTGTGTGTGTGTGTGTGTGTGTGTGTGACAAGGTCTCACTCTGTAGAATAGGCTGGTCTTGAATGCACAGTGATCCTCTTGTCTAAGCTTCCCTAGGGAATCACTGGCAGGCATCACCACACCCAGACACTTCTCTGCTTCTAGTGAGGAGACTGAGGCACTGAGAGGGTCAGTGACTTGCCTGAGGCTGCTTGGTTAGAGAGTGGCAGGGAAAGAGGTCGCCTGACTTCAGAGCGTGTCCTGACGTCACTCTCATGGAGCTCCCTTCCCTCATCTCTAGGTCACAAGAGGGTGGCTTCACCTACTGCTGGTACCCTCACTCAGAGGGTCTTTCCTTGACTGTAACCTCGAGGCTAGAGCTGCCCCCTAACAGCCGTGGAGGGTCATGTGGCCGTGGACGGAGGGGCTTTCCTCTGAGGGGGATGTTGCCTGGAGGTCGACAGTGGCTTTCTGGGTGTGGACGGATGTGGCCCAAGGGGGGGGCACATGTCCCCTCACTGTTTAATGGAGCAGCGTGGGGTGACCCATGGGGTAACACTGGTGGCATCCAGGCAACTGAGTGCAGGGACACCCCCAGAACCATTCTTGCTTGCTTCCCCTCAAGCCTTCTCCTAAAGACTTCGGAATCTGCAGAACTGAGCCAACAGTACCGTGACCCACGTAGTGTGAGATGGAGACACTTGGCCCCGTATTCACGTGCCCCACGGCACCCACACTTTCTGCTGTCTGTGTGCTTATTGTAACCATCGGAAGGTAGATGGCAGGGTCAGAGTTCACCCCGCTCCATCAGATATCTTTGTTGTTGATCTCTGAGACAGGGAAGTACCCTGTGGCCCTGGCTGGCTGGGCCTGGAACTCACTGTGTAAGACCAGACTGGCATTGAACTCAGAGAGATCCTCCTGCCTCTGCCTCTTGAGTGCTGGGATTAAAAATACGTGCCACCACAGCTGACTCAAACAGTGTCTTTTTTTGTCTTGATTTTTCAAGACAGGGTTTCTCTGTGTAGTTTTAGTGCCTGTCCTGGATCTCACTCTGTAGACCAGGCTGGTCTCAAACTCACAGAGATCCTCCTGCCTCTGTCTCCTGAGTGCTGGGATTAAAGGCGTGTGCCACCGCTGCCTGACTTGACTCAATGTCTTTTAAAAGATGACCCTAAAACCTTCAGCATTCTGGGTCACCTCATGGGGAGCAATGGCTTCCAGACACAACCTATATTTTTACATTTCCCCAGTTGTTCCCACCCCCCAAAAAAAAACTTCAAAAAAATTTACAGTGTGTGTGTGTGTGTGTGTGTGTGTGTGTGTGTATGTGTGTAGGCAAGTGAGCAACCTACAGGGTCAGTTCTCTCCTTTTACCAGGTGGATTCTGGGGCTCAAACTCAGGTCATCACGCTTGGTGGCAAGTGCCTTTATCTTCTGGGCCATCTCACCAGCTTTTCCATTTATATCTTTTGAAGCAGGGTCTGTCTATGTAGTCTAGGCTGGCTTCAAACTGACAGTGATCCTCCTGCTTCAGTAGTGCGTGTGTTACATACCGTGAGTGTGTGGGTACGTGTGTTCGTGCACACACATGCATGGGTCATATGTCTTGTGTACTCCTCTATTTCTCTCTGCCTCACTTCCTTAAGGAAAGGAACCTGGGGCTGGCGAGATGGCTCAGCGGTTAGGAGCACTGGCTGCTCTTCCAGAGGACCTGGGTTCAGTTCCCAGCACCCACATGGTGGCTCACAACCATCTATAATGAGATCTAGTGCCTTCTTCTGGCTTGCAGGCAGAACACTGTATACATAATAAATAAACCTTGAAAGAGAGAAAGAAAGAAAGGAAGAAAGAAAGAAAGAAAGAAAGAAGGAAAAGAAAGAGCCGGGCGTGGTGGCGCACGCCTTTAATCCCAGCACTCGGGAGGCAGAGGCAGGCGGATCTCTGTGAGTTCGAGGCCAGCCTGGTCTCCAAAGCGAGTTCCAGGAAAGGCGCAAAGCTACACAGAGAAACCCTGTCTCGAAAAAAACAAAATAAAAACAAAAACAGAAAGAAAGAAAGAAAGAAAGAAAGAAAGAAAGAAAGAAAGAAAGAAAGAAAGAAAGAAAGAAAGAAAGAAAAGGAACATGACCTGTTTTTGCTAGGCTGGCCAGAGGGCAAGTTCCCAGTGTCCACCTGTTTCCTCCCCCATCCTTGGGTGGTGTGGGAGACCAGCCCCCACACTTATTTACCCCAGGAACTCTTGAGGAATGAGGGATAAGAGACTTAGTTAGAAATAATGAGGATGATATGTAGAACTGAACTGTATTGCAAAATTAAAAAAAAAAAGAAATAATGAGGAGAGAAACAGAGAGAAACACAGGATAGACTCGGGAGGGCCTGGATCCTTATCCACCGGCCCAGAACTTTATTCCAAAGGTCTATTTATAACAATGCCAAGGGGTGGAGCAAAAGACCTTCCCCTTGCTAGTTGCAGTCAAGTGTAGACCCTTACAAACACCTGGTACCCAGACCTGTGGTCCAGTCAACCTCTTATGCAGCCCTGCTGGGTACAGCCACTAGGAAACCTAGTGGGCTCCGACAGGGTGGAAGGCATGCACGGTCCTCTTGTGTGGTGTCAGGTATTTGAACCCAGGTCCTCACGCGTGCACAAGTCCTCCCATGCGCTACGCCATCTCCTGAGCGCCGGCCTCTTGAGTGATGGGATGACAGGCGTGTACCTCCGCACAGGACTCCAAACCCTTCTCGTCCCTCTCTTTTTGGCTAGGGAATCCAGTTAAGATCGTATGTTGTCTTTCAGTTCACTTCTCTTGAGTCTCTTACACGGGTCCTTGCCTACTTACTCTTTTTTTTTCTTTTACCAGTGTTGGCGTGTGCTGCGAATGTGCTTTGGCAAGGAGAGGCCCAGAGGTCCAGGGTCTGCTTCTGCCTGCAGTGTAAGCTTGGGGAGAGAGAGAGAGAGAGAACGAGAGAACGAGAGAGAACTTTTGTTAAAGATCTGGGGCCTAGACAGCTGAGGGCTTGCTTTCTTTGAACCCTGTGCTGCTGTGTGGGATGCTTGTCTCAGGGGAGGACCTGCCACTGTTACCTGTCCCTGGATGGGCCACCATCCCTACAGAAGACCTGAGCTCCTCTCAGCCTGTCTGTGACTTTTGGTCCCCACAGAGGAGGCCTTCCATCCTGGGCTCAGGTGGAATCTGCTCCCCCTCCCTCTCTGTAAATGCTATACTCTTCCTCAAACACCGCCAGCCTCCTGGAGACTCTGCTCATGTCCTGACACCCTAGACATTGGGAACCCCACTGCACGCAGCACAAGGGCCCCAGCCTTAACCTCCAGCTTGAAGCATGGGGGTGCCTGCAGAGAGGGCCTATGAGGTGGGGATGGGAGATGTTAGTTGGCTAGATAGGGGTGGTGCTTTGGGATGGAGGGAACCGGGATGGGAGGAAATTTGGTGTCTGTGGTTTCTATAAACCACGAGGGCACCAGGAAGGAAGAGAAAGGGACTGTGTCATGCGGGGCCCTAAGAACCGGGGAGGCAGGCAGGGATGCCTTCATTTGTGTCAAAGGAAGAAACGAGAGCCCAGGATCAGTGGATGACAGGGCTTGTTCCACAACCATAAGGACCGGAGTTCAAATTCCCAGAACTCACATAAAAGCTGGGCTTGGCCACATGTGCCTGTAACCCTAACGCACAGCTAGCTGGGCAGGCAGGAACAGGAGCTCACTGGGGCTGGCCTAGCTGAAGAACAGCAAGTTCTAGGTTCAATGAGAAACATTCAGTGGAGTAAGGCAGACAGAGCAAGGCATCTTGTGTCCTCCTTTGGGAGCTAAACACACACACACACACACACACACACACACACACACACACACATGCACGCACTCACACATGCACACACATACACATATATACGCACATACATATAAACACACACAGACACACATATGCACACGTACACATATACACACACAGTGTATTGAGAGGAGGGGAAAGTGAAGGGAAGAGGCTGAGAGCAGAGAACAGTGGAGGCCAAGACCAGTCACTCTGTTGCTGCTGGAAGTGAGGACCTGAGCTGGAGGGATGACATCAAAAGATGTCCAGGAGCTCTTCCTGCCTCCGGACAGCCAAGTCCCAAGGACTCTAGGCCTCCCAAGGTTACAACGCAAGACCTTCGCTGTCATGAGTTCCTTCATGCAGCCCTGAGTAGAGGCCCTGAGACCCGCAGGAGGGTCCGAGAACTGCTCAGGAGTGTTCCAGGCTGGGGGGATCTTCCACAGGGCAGGGGCCTGAGCAGGTGGATGTGTTGAGATCATGGTGGGTGGACCAGGCCGTGGCAGGTGGGCAGGCTCTGTCACCATGGAAGGATGGAGACCTTGACTGTGCTTAGCAGGGTGCAGAGCCGGGGCTTTCAGCACTGTGGCTCATCACCCTCTTAACTCTCCTCTGTCCCCAGGTCTGAGGTACCATGGAGAATGGAAAGGGAGGGTCCAGAAAAGGCCGGAGGCTGGCATCCAGTCGCCGGAGGCAGATCCGAGAGCCAGCGGATGGTCAGGATACCCCCGCGGTCCCAGAGCCCGAGACCTGGCCGTCTCATGCTGACGAAGAGCTGCAGTCCTTCTTCCGGGACTGTGGTGCCAAAGAGAGGGGCTTTGTCACCCGAGAGGACCTGGCGGTGAGCATGAGGTCCCATCACACCCCGAATCCCTTTCGTGCAGATTCTTAAGTTTTCCTGTTTTAACCAGGGCTTAGCTGGCCTGCCTGTTCCCCTCTGCATCCAAATTCACTCTCAGAAAACATTAGGAATTTGTTCATACCAACGCGTAGGTGACTGATGAGGCTTAATATAGCACCCTTTTCCCGAAACACTTGCATTTTAACAAAGGAGAGAGCTTTATGCCACAGAAGTAACTCACAAATGGTGGGGTGTGAGACATTATTGTTGAGACAGGGTTTCTCTGTGCAGCCCTGGCTGTCCTAGAACTCACTCTGTAGACCAGGCTGGCCTTGAACTCACGGAGATCCTCCTGTCTCTGCCTCCCAAGTGCTGGGATTAAAGGAGTGCACTACTATGCTTCGCTATTTCTGTTATTTTTAGTAATATGTATATGTGTATAGATATGTGTATGGTGATGTACAGACACCCTCAGAGTCCAGAAGAGATTTCTGGAGTTATAAGCAGTTGTGAACCACCCAGCATGCGTGCTGAAAAACAAACCTGGGTCCTTTGCAAGGGTAGAATTCATTTGTTTGTTTGGTTGGTTGGTTGGTTTTTTTCTAGACAGGGTTTCTCCATGTAGCTCTGGCTGTCCTGGATCTTGCTCTGTAGCCCAGGCTGGCCTCAAACTCACAGAGATCTGCCTGGCTCTGCCTCCTGAGTGCTGGGATTAAAGACGTGCGTCACCACCGCCTGGTGAGTAGTATTCACTCTTAACTGCTGGGCTGGCTGTCTTCCCAGTTCTTGTGAGAGAATTTTTGTTTTGTTTTTTGAGACAGGGTTTCTCTCTGTAGTCCTGGTTGTCTTGGAACTTGCTCTGCAGACCAGGCTGGCCTCGAACTCACAGAGATCTGCCTGCCTCTGTACTCCCCCTCCCTCCAAGTGCTGTGATTAAAGGCGTGCGACACGACCGCTCTGCTGTGAGAGATTTTTGAGACAGGTCTCTCTATGTAGCTCAGGCTGGCCTCTAACTCTCAGCCTTCTGCCCTGGCCTTCCCAGTGCTGGGATGACAGACAGGCTCCACCCCACCTGACTGAGGTGTTTAGAGCAGAGATGCTCATCTTGGGGAGCAGTCAGAGCCCTGGGAACCAAAGTAGGCTGATGAGTGTAAACCTCGAGAGTGGCCATAGTCGTGGGTCCCACTAAGAGGCTGGAAGCCTGTGGTCCAGACCTAGGTGGCGGAGGACTTCTTCTCCCTCATTGCAAAAGGGCCCGTGTGGGTCGCTCTCTTGATGGGTCTGATGTTACTTCTGGGTGTCACTCCACCCTCCCTTTTGTCCTTTCCCCGTTAAGACGGTTGCCATGGAGACCGAGAATGTGGCACAGTTGGTAGAGTGCCTGCCTGGCATGCACAAGGCCCCAGCTTCAGGTTTTAGCACCGGATAAACTGTGTGTTGGAGCACACACCTGCGATCCCAGCACTCAGGAGGTGGAGGCAGGAGGGTCAGGAGTGTGAAGTCAGCCTTCGCTACTCATCGAGCACATTTATTTACCTGGGTGTATGTGGGTAGGAGGTATGCACGCCACAGTGCACGTGCGGAGTTCGGAGGGCGACCTGTGTGAATTGGTTCTCTCCATCCACCAGGGTTAAACTCAGGTTGTCAGGGTTAGAGGCAAGCACCTTTACCCGGGGAGCCATCTCACCAGCCAAGAGAGATCTTATCTAGTTCATTATTAATTAACTAGGGATTAGTAAAATGTCATGACTAGTGCCCAGAGCCCTTGCACTGGATACTCATAGGCAGTTTGACGGGAAGGTGTTAGGGTAAGATTGCTGAGTTCAATTTGAAAAAATGGCTAATGTCCAACGACTCCTAAACCCTTGCCAGAAACTGACTTCATCTTTCCTAGATGAAACTCTTAAGATAATGAGTGACTTCAGTAAGTCTGGGACTTTTAAAAATAAGATTGTGTGTGTGTGTTCCTGCATGGGTGTGTGTGTGTGTTCCTGCATGGGTGTGTTTGTGTGTCAGGGTGGGGGGCAGGGTCTCTCTTGCTTCCGCCTCTGTGCTGTGTGAGCTCCTGGCCAATCCTCCTGTCTCTGTCTCCCATCTTGGAGTAGAAGAGTTGGGATTACAGACAAGTCACCCAAATCTAGCTTGCTTTTACATGGGGTCCTGAGATCAAACTCAGATCATCAGGCTTGCTTGACAGTATGTGACAGACTTTTTCTGAGGAGGTGCAAAACACACACTACACACACACACCACACACACACACACGCACGCACACACACACACACACACACACACACACACACGCACACACACACACAAACACCACACAGAGCACTGCTAGTTCCAATCAGGGACTCAACAGCGGACCAAGAGCCAACTTGGTTGAACCAATGAGTTTTTGTTGGGGTGTCTAACAGGAGCAGCGTGAGGACTGACAGGAGCAGAGACGACCCCGGGGCAGCTGCATCATCAAAGAGCCCGCCCCCACAGGGGTGACAGCTCACAAAGCTGCAGCCCTGGAGCGTTGCACAGCTTACAGCAGCACCACAGTCCAGGGATCCCGACTTCGCAGCAGGCTGCTCAGGAGTTGTTTACCTCTCTGTAAAGCTAGGGAGGGACCCTCCAGAGTCTTCCAAGGGTCAGCTTCTCTGGACACGTGACTCAAGCCAGGAGAGTCTCATGACTTCCTCTGCCTACTGGGAGGAATGTTTAGGTTCAGAGATTGCTTTACACCACAACAAAGCCTTCTCTTGGCCTGAGTCTAGACCTTTTCATCAAGGAGGCCATCTACATACAGAGGTCCAGGCTAGCCGGGCCTTCATAGTGAGATCCTGTCTCAAAAACAAAAGAAAAACAGGGAGATGACCAGTCCACTCCCCTGGTCTGAACAGTGTGTGGCCAGTTCCCACCTCTGGATAATTACAGACTGATCTTACCTTTTTGTCTTATTCTCAAGTTTCAGATCATTTTTCTTGTGGTTATAAATAATTTCCTGTGCTTCTTGATGTGTGACGAGATGGTTGGGTTGACCTTAGTTACTGCTATAGGTGAAGCCGGGGTATAAACACATGAGCCTCCTTAGATTTAAGCTGCAAAACCAACACTTAGACCAAAATTAGCTCCTGTCTAGAAATTTCCATATGGATAGGTGGAGCTTTCAAGGCCTCCGTTGCTGATGTTTCTTTCTGTTGGACGACCAGCTGCTTGAATTCCTTTTTCCTTTGCCACAGCAGAGGGAACCTGAAATGAAACCTGACAGAGGCAACTTCAGGGAAAAAGGGCTTATGGTGGCTCAGTCCATCATGGTGGGGAAGGCAGGGCGGCAGGAGAGCCAGGCAGACGGTCACATGATGTCCAGTCGGGGAGCAGAGGCATGGGCACTGGTGCTCAGCTTGCCACTGCCGCTGCTGCCACCTTCTTCTTCTTCTTCTTCTTCTTCTTCTTCTTCTTCTTCTTCTTCTTCTTCTTCTTCCTCTTCCTCTTCTCCTCTTCCTCTTCTCCTCTTCCTCTTCTCCTCCTCCTTCCTCTTCTTCTTCCTCCCCTTCTCCTTCTCCTTCATCTGCTCCTCCTCCTTCTTGTTCTCCTCCTCCTCTTTCTTCTCCTCCTCGTCCCCCGGCTGCTTTCTTCTTTTTTTTAAGGCCAGAACCCCAGCCCTCGGGACTGCACTACCCACACTCCCGGTGGGTCTTTCCCTGACTAGCCTTCTCTGGAAAGTCCCTCACAGAAATACCCGGAGGCGTCTCCCAGGTGACTAGCGGAGGACCGAAGGGTCACCTGGAATGTGGGCCCTTGAGTGCTAATGTTGGGACAGTTTGTCAGCCTTCATCCAACGTCAGGCTCCACACCCAGCTCCACTCTCCAGCAGGCGACTCTTGCAGATTTGACCAGTTTTCCTGCCTGGAAATGACCTTCCTTCCCCCACGGCCCCAGGCCTCCTGAGAGAGTTTCACAGCAGGAGCTGGAGGCTATCCCTAGGAGCCAGCCTGTTACAGGCGATTACATGAGGACCATTATAGAAAATGACACTCCAAGGAGGTACTGGGTTGCATGATTGATTTATTCAGTTCTATCCTGATAAAATAGGAAGGCCTACTGAACCTGTGCAAATAAAACAAACCAAACCAAAACAACAAAAACCAAAACCAAAACCAAACAAAACAAAATGTAGAACGTTCTGGAATGTAAGGAGAGCCAGTAAAAGTGTTTGTTGGTTTCTGAAGGAAAGTGAGATTCAAATAACACTCCAGGTGTTTCGCTTCAGTTTCCCAAAGACTGAAGGGCACTGGAATGTGGGGTGTGGGCCATAAACGGGGAAGTCCAGGGCAGACAGACTGCTTAGAACAAGGTCCTAACGGAGAAAACAAGCCAAGGATGGGAAAGAATTTAAAATGTTCGAGGTCAGCCTGGTCTACAGAGCGAGTTCCAGGACAGCCAGGGCTACACAGAAAAACCCTGTCAGAGAGAAAGAAAGAAAGAAAGAAAGAAAGAAAGAAAGAAAGAAAGAAAGAAAGAAAGAAAGAAAGAAAGAAAGAACCTGAAAAGTCAGAGGAAGAAACTTCTCTCAGATCTATTGACAGAGTGCTGAACTGCCAGACCTGGTGGCGTACTCTAGGCAGCTGGGCGACAGAGGCAGGGGGCCTCAAGTTCAAAACCAGCATCAGTCTGGGAAATAGTGAAACCCTGCTTCTAAAAATCAGGGAGGGTCTGGGGACCTCAGCTGGAAGGGTGTCACACAGAGAGTTCAAGGCCAGCTTAGGCTAAATGAGAACTTGTCTTGTCTCAAAACAATAACAAACAGCATACAAACCCATACTGGTCAGCTAGATCCCCAGCACGTACAGCTCCAAACCCCGCCGTCTCCCTATCGTGTGAAGGGCACCCAAGGCCAGCGTGGAAGCTGGCACCCAAGTGAAGCAGAGCCTGGGCCGGTCCTTTCTCCCTAGGCCTGGACTTGTCTTTCATGGTTGAAGACACAAGCTGAGACCTGCAGCTCACACACAGCAGGGCTTCCAGCCACTGAAGGGAAGCAGAGTCTAGCCAGCAGCAGGAGGACTGTGTGTTTCTTACCTTCGTGGCACCTTCTACAGGGTACATTGGTAACTGTAGGCTTGCAAGGTAGCAACCCTGGAGACAAGAAGAGGCTGTGGATGAGCAAAAGCTTCCAGAACTCTCTGGAACCTTCCCACAGAGCAGGAGAGATGCCCTGACACAGCCTGATCCCTGTGACCTCCCGGTCTGGGGAAGACACTTGCCCTTCTGTTGCGATGGCTCTTCCTGTGGTACTTTCTCTCCTTTGTTTTTAGATGCAGTCTCATGGAGCCCAGGGTAGCCTTTAACTGACTATGGATCTGAGGCTAGCCTGGAGCTCTGATCTTCCTGCCTCTGCCTCTGGCGTACTGGAGTCACGGGCATCACCATGCAGTTTGTGGGGGTGGGGCTGGACTTTGTGCAAGTCCCCTACGCCCTACGCCCACAGCACCCCACCTCAGCTGCTTAACAGTTACTATTATTAATATTATCATTATTGTGTCTACGGGAGTGTATGTGTGAGTGAGGGCACACTCGTGTCAAGGTACACGGGTGGAGGTCAGAGGTTAGCTTTCAGGAGTTGGGCCGCTCTTTGCACGGTTGGTTCTGGACGTGGAAGTCAGGGCTTGAGGCTTGCTCTCATGGAAAGTTCTGTAACCCGCTGAGCAATCTCACCAGACCGCCTTCTGGTTTTTTTGAGATAGTGTCTCACTGTATGGCTGAGAGTGGACTTGAATTCACAGCAATCCTCCTGCCTCAGCCTCCCAAATGCTGGGATTACAGGAGTGTGCCAGTATGCTCAGTTAAAGATAAAAGTGAGGGGGATGGGGAGGAAGAGAAAGAGAGCACAGGGAAACAATATATTTTGAGAAAACCACAGGAGAAGGTGACGTGATTGGGAGGGAATTCAGCTCTTTCCTAAGCCAGGTGCCCTGCTTTTTGTGGTTTTAAAGATTAGAACCTGAGGGGGCTGGAGCATAGCTCAGCATTAGGAGCCTATAGCACTCATTGAGAGCACTCAGGCTTGATTCACAATGCCCACATCGGGTGGCTCAAACCCTCCTGGTGCTGCAGCCCCAGGGGTCTGAAGCCTCTGGACCCCCAGGCCACCTGCACAGCGTCTAAGGGAGCTTGTTACACAAACCTGGTGAGCTGAGTTTGAACTCAGAACAGGCACAGAAGTGGAAGAAGAGGTGGGTGGTCGCACACGCCTGTTGTCCTAGTTAAGGTGACTATTGCTGTGATGGAACATGGTACCCAAATGCAACCTGGAGAAGAATGTGTAGATGTAACCAACCGTCTTATTAAATAAGAAACACAGAACCAATGCAAAGAAGAAAGCCAAGAGATCAGAGCTAAGAGCCTTACCCGCCTGCTGCAGCTAGCCTCTTAAGCCAAGAGACCTCTCCAAAAGAGAGCTACTTCCTATGTGTTTGTCTTTATATAGACTTTCTGTTCTGCCTTCTCATTGGTTGTAAAACCAACCACATGACTGCCTCATCACTGTCTGTTGTACAGCCCTCCAGGTCTTCTATTGTATTGAGATTAAAGGCGTGTGTCTCCAATGCTGGCTGTATCCTTGACCACACAGAGATCTACCTAGCTCTGCCTACCAAGTTCTAAGATTAAAGGCGTGCGCCACTACCGCCCAGCTTTTGCTATGGCTCTAATAGCTCTGACCCCTGGGCAACTTTATTTATTAACATACAATTAAAATCACATTTCAGTACAAATAAAATTTGGCTTACATTTCCACATCACTGTTCATCACTGAACAAAGTCAGGACAGGGGCCAGGTGGTGGTGGCGCACGCCTTTAATCCCAGCACTTGGGAGGCAGAGCCAGGTGGATCTCTGTGAGTTCGAGGCCAGCCTGGGTTACCAAGTGAGTTCCAGGAAAGGTGCAAAGCTACACAGAGAAACCCTGTCTCGAAAAATCAAAAAAAAAAAAAGTCAGGACAGGAACTCAAGCAGGGCTGGAACTGGAGGCAGGAGCTGATGCAGACAGACATTGACCGTGGAGGGGTGCTGCTTACTGGCTTGCTCCCTGTGGCATGTTCAGCCTGCTTTCTTATAGAACCCAGGACCACCAGGCCGGGGATGGCACCACCCACAGCGGGCTGGGCTGTTCCCCATCAGTCACTAGTTAAGAAAATGCTCTAGCCGGGCGGTGGTGGCGCACGCCTTTAATCCCAGCACTCGGGAGGCAGAGGCAGGCGGATCTCTGTGAGTTCGAGGCCAGCCTGGTCTACAGAGGGAGACCCAGGAAAGGCGCAAAGCTACACAGAGAAACCCTGTCTCGAAAAACCAAAAAAAAAAAAAAAAAAAAAAAAAAAAAAAAAAAAAAGAAAATGCTCTACAGGCTTGCCTAGAGCCTGATCTTATGGAGGCATTTTCTCAACTGAGGCTCCTCTGATGACTCTCGCTTGTGTGTCAAATTGACATAAAACTGTCCAGCACACCTGTGATCCCAGCACTTGGGCCATGAAGGCCAGAGGCTCAGAAGTTCAGGGTCATCCTTGGCTACATAGTGAGTTTGAGACCAGCCTGGGCTATAAGAGATCTCATCTAGAAAAAACCAAAACCAACAGCAACAAAGCCCTAAAACTCCGTGACACTTAGGATCCCCACTAAGAGCCAAGAAGTCCTGGGGCTCAGAGCGCCCTGAGGTGCCCCTGCGTGGTAATGCTTCCTACTTCTCTGTGGGTGAATTCGCCCTGCACCCTCCGAGGATAACGAGAGGTAATTGTTCAGAAAGTAAAATCATGACCTATGGGCAAATACTGAACAGGCTCCGGTCAAAATGGGGCTCCTGTCAAAGTGGGGTGCTTTTTTTCTTTCCATGCTAGATGAGTGCTCCATCACCATGCCACATGCCAAGCCCTCAGAGATTTTATTTAACACATTAATTAGCGTTATGCATGGTTCAAAGAGCATGTTAAAAAGTTGGGCAACTTAACAAAGACAGATTAGAGCCAGACCACTGAATTAGATTTTTTTTTTACAGCTAGTGAAAGTCCAACAGGCCATAAATCTTGGAGTTATCTGTCTCATCAGACAGAAATTATCTACAATGTTCCTGGACAGAATCTGCAAGTTCACACATGACTCTGCCTTGATCAGTTCTGTGAGGTGAATTGGCCGCACTCTGTGGTCTAGCGAGCACATGGCTTCTTACACTTTTTCCACTTGGCTTTTTTCACCGGAGAAATATTTTACAATATCTGGGAATATAGGCCTATAAAATAGATGTACGCATCAAACATTTACGGAGACACATTTACAGTCCCAGATCTGGTGAGGCAGAGATATGCAGGTCCCCAGGACTTGCCAGCCAGCCTAGCCTACTTGGAGGGCCCCAGAACAGTCAGGGACTCTCAAAACAAGATGGGTAGTACTTGAGGATCAACGGCCAAGGTTGTCCTCTGGCCTCCACAAACACATGCACGGATGTGCCTGTGAGTGCTGCTGGTACCTGCAGAGGCCAGAAGAGAGAGTCAGATCCCCTGGAGTTAGAGTTACAGCTGTTGTGAGTCCCCTCTGACTGCTGGGAGGGAGCCCAGCTCAGGCCCTCTGAAACAGCAAGTCAGGTTCTTAGCCACTGAAGCCATCTCTCCTGTTGATAACAGCAATTTTTAAAACTTTTCTTAGTTTTTTTTTTTTTTTTTTTTTTTTGAGACAGGGTTTCTCTGTGTAGCCCTGGCTGTCCTGGAACTCACTTTGGAGACCAGGCTGGCCTGGAACTCAGAGATCCCGCTTACGTCTGCCTCCTGAGTGCTGGGATTAATGGTGTGGGGCCACCACCACCTGACACACAACAGCAATTTTTAAAATGAAGCATTCTAACAGAATACAGTCCAGACATACAGATTTGATATTAACATGATGAAGAATGCTGCTAAGAAAATACTAAATGTCTTTGTCTTCCATAGTTGAAACATTGTTACGGCTTCTTTCTTCTTATTTCTTTTTGGGCTGTGGTGGTGTTGAGACAGTGTCTTTCCATGTAGTATAAGCTGTCCTGGGACTCAGGATGTAGATCCAGCTGGCTTCAAACACACCGAGAGATCCACCAGCCTCTGCCTCCCAAGGGCTGAGATCAAAGGTGGGCGCCACCACTCCCTGCTCGTCACGGCTTTTCTAATGGCAGAACACTTTGCTTGAGAAGTCAGAACACTGCAGTTCAAGACATAGTGTAGCCTCAACTCTGAGCCACGGTGGTTCGGGCAGGGTTCACTGCTGCTGTGTGACAGCACGTACAATATGCAGATGTTGTGTTTAGAACTGTGGTTGCAGTGAGGTCACACGGTGGAGGGGGGGGAGGGGCAAGCTCTGCCGGAAGCATCTCAGATTCTGAATGTGTGATTTCAAATGAACACAGTGCTTTTGACACTCACACACACCCACACCCACACCCCCCCCCCACACACACTTCAGTCATGCAACCCGAGAGCCACAGGTGCAAACGCTTGCATGGCCCTTGTCCCTGGGTCACGCTGGAAGGACGTGCTGATGTGGTGCATTACAAGCATCAGGTGGCTAAGGGACAGGATGCTGCACATCTTTGATCCCAGCACTCTGGAAGCAGAAGCCGGTGCATCTCTGTGAGTTTGAGGCTAGCCTGGCCTATAGAGTGAGTTCCAGTACAGCCAGGGCTACATAATAGAGAGAGACCCTATTTTCACCCCCCAAACAAACAAGTACCAGATGGCGTTCAAAGCCATCCCACCAAGGGCTGGGGGGACACATCAGTGCAGATTTTGGGGGGTGATAAGGAGGTGACTTGGAGCCTGCTCAGGGTCCTACTGAAGGATGCCGAGTGTGGTGTGGGGAACTGCAGGGCAGGCCCCGAGTGACCCTGCCCTGGGAAGAAGGCAAGCAGGGTGGTTGAAGACAGGCACCTCCCCTCCTGTGCACAGCCTTTCCTGCAGGAACAGTGGCCAACTGACTCATTCCTTCCTTTCAGGAGGCCAAGTTCAGCTTCGTGGGGAGCGAGGAGCCGCAGATGATATTTGACTGGGTAGACACCGAGAACAGGGGCCGGCTGTCGCTGGAAGAATTCAGCTCTGGACTCAGTATGTCTGGGAGGGCCCTGGAGGCTTCTAGAATAGTGTTGGGCTGTGTGACAGGCCAGGGGGCCCTCACTACATCTGAGAGCTCTCAGCTGCTCCCCTAGAACCCTCCCTGCATTTTCATGTAGAGGATAAAAAGCTTCCTGGCTTTGATGTGAGGCCAGGGGCTGCAACTGCCCCCCTCACCCCAAGAGGTCACTTTCCAGCCTCAGCCAAGGCAACTCCAGGCTCCAGGTCCCAGAGGGTGGCATGGGGGACAGAGAGGAGGTGGAGGCACCTCACTTAACAAATTTGTTTTATGGAAAAGAAGAAAAAGGTCCCGTAAGATGGCTTAGTGGGTAAGGGTGATTGCCACCAAGCCTGAGGACTTGAGTTCAATCCCCACAACCCACTTGGTCAAAGGAGAGAACTGATTTCTGAATGTTGTCCTCTGACTTCTACATGCACACTGTGGTGCATGTGTGTGCTTACACACACACACACACACACACACACACACACACACACACACGTGGGAGAGGACATATCCTTTTCAACCCTTGAGTTAGAATGTCAGCTCCCCAAGGCCTGGGATTTGGGTGAACTCCATCACCAGCTCACAGTGAATGCTCAATGAATACTTCCTGAGTGGGTGAAAAACCTGTTAGCTACCCTGGAGCTGCTTTGTGACTTCCAGAGACTCTCTAGGCATCTCTGGGGCCTCAGGTGATGTGCGAAATGGGCACTCCCACTTTATGAGGCGACCAAGGCTGATCTGAGGCACGCATGAATGTGTCCCTGTTTAAATGTGGGGGGTGGGGTTCAAGGGATATCAGAGCCTCATCGCCCCTCTGTTCCCCTCTGTCCCCCAGAAAATGTCTTTGGCTCCAGCCCCAGTACCCACAGGCTCCGCAGAAAGCAGCCCACGCTCTCTCAACCAGTATCTGCGACCTTCAGCTTGCCTGCCCTCGAGGAGGCCCATGCCGAAGAGAAGGAGGCCTTCCGGGTGCTTGTAGGGCAGATGGGGACCGGCCACTCCCTTTCTGAGTAAGGCCCTGCGGGATGGTAGGGGTGAGGGCTCAGGGTAGGACTGGGTGCAGACCCCAGCTTATCCACGTGATAGTGTGTGACCTCTGACCTCTGTTCCTTGCTACAGCATGCCTAGAGGGTCCTCTCTCTCCACACTCTAGAAAGGTCAGCCAGTTGGAGCATCACCTCTGAGGGGGACCTGGAGACTCCCTAAGGGTCCCTCAGTAGGGTGACTTCAAACATGGGGGTGCTCTGGGCTGGGTGGGTTTGGAGAGAGGAGATCAATTTCTGCCGTGAGTCCTGGGCTCAGGCCCTGGGTGTACGAGAATTGTCACATGTGCCCAGAAGGGGGGCCGGGCCCTTCCTGAGTCGCTGCAACCCTGAGGCCTACAAAGCCAGCTTCCCCCTCGGCCACTGTCTCCCACTCACTACTCTGCCCACGGGCCTCTGAAGGATGAGATTGCTCCCTGGTTCAGAGGGTGGGGCTGCGGCTGTGGGATGGGCTGGGAGGGAGCTGGGGCGTCGGCTGGCAGAGCAGGTGGAGCAGGGAGCCATTTACCCACTTGGCGCTTTGGCCCTGCTCCCTCGCCCTCTGGCTGTCTTCATGACTTAATTAAGTCCATGTGAAAGTAGTATGTACCGAGTGCCAACCGTGGGCAGGGCCCCGGGGCTGGCACTCACCCTTGGCGTGTCTCGTTCCCCAAACAATCTTGCTTGGCAAGTATTGGCCTTCTTAGTTTTCCAGTGAGCACAAGGAGGGTAAAGGCTTGCTAGAAACCACGCAACTTCAAAACGGGAGAAGAGAGGAGGTGGATGGAAGCCTTGAGCTGTGGGACTCCCAAATCTACCCCACCCCCAATTAACCACTCACTCACAAGGAGTATGGGGTTCAAGGGCCAGCCAGCTCACTATGGAAATGTCCCAGGAGGAGGTGGCACTTACTTGAGTTAAGCTTTGTAGTATTGTTGGTAGAATTTTGTGTTTCAGGTCCCCAAGTCCCAGGGAGTGCTGTCATTAGAACCGAGGACTAGGGGTGGGGATGTGGCTCACTGGGCTGAATGGTTGCCTAGCATATACGAACCCATCTGTGGGCTCCATCCTCAGCACCACATAAACTAGGTCACAGTAATCCCGGTCTTTGGGGGCTGGAGGCAGGAGAATCAGGAGTTCAAGGTTATTCTCTGCTTCATAGCAAGTTTGAAGCTAGCCTGGGCTTACAGAAGCCCCCCACTTCCTGGTCCTCCGGTATCTAATCTCTGGAGGTTCCCGTACTCCAGGCAGGCTGAGATCTGGAAGCTGTGGGGGGAGCTGCATCAGCAGGAGCCCCAGCTGGCAGGCAACTTGGAGGGCTTCCTGGCCAAGATGAGCAGTCGTCTGCAGGAGGCTCGGACTGACCGGGAGGCCCTGGAGTGGACGCTGAGGAAGTGAGTGGGGACGTAGCAGGTGTCCCTTGCACACTGTGGATTCCTAGATGAGGTTCTACTCCCTTCTGGAGCGGCTGGGTAAACAGAGCCAAGTTTGAGGAGGAAGAAACTCCAGGGGCCTATTTAGTGACCCTGTAACTGTCAGGGTCACAGCTGTCACGGAGGCCTGAGTCCATAGGGCCAGGATGGTGACTGAGTGTGGTGGGGGTAGAGAATTGGGACAATGGGGACCATAGATAGGGTGGGAGATGGGACACCAGTAGAGGTATGACCAGTGTCATAGACCCAGGGTGACAATGATAGGGTCTGAGACTGCTGCTGCGGGCAAGTGAGGCAGAAGGGCCCCGGGCATAGAGTTCCAGAGGTTCTGAGGGGCTGTCTGGTGCCCACCCCCTGCCGCTGCAGGCGAGACTCTGACCATCTCCACAACGTGAGGCAGCTCTATGAGGAGACGGAGGAGCAGATCCGCAGGGAGAAGCGGCAGCTGCAGGCGCAGGTGAGTGCCTTGGGCCTCGGCCCTGCCCTGATACATGCAGGCTAAGTAGTGGCTGAGGAGTAGCAGGGCAGCAGAGGCCACTGGGAGACCCCCTGCCCGGCAGCTTGTGCTACAGAGAGTTGGGTGGGCCTGCTGGGCATGTGTTCTGTCTTTGTGAGGTATCAACGTTCCCCGGAGACTGATTTCTACGCTTTGGGCTTCAGTGTCCTTGGGAGAGTTTAGGCCCGAGCGGGGGAATCCCGAAGTCATCTTTCCAGCCCTTGAACCCTGGGCCAGGGTGGGGGTGAGGTGGGGAGGGCCAGCCCGGCTGAGCTGGCTCTGGAGTCTGCAGAGCAGGGCTGACCCATTTTCTCTGCAGAGTGACTCCCGGGGCATGGCCCTCAGAACCCACATGCAGGAGGCTCTGGAAGCCAAGGAACAAGAGGTTCAACGGTTGGCAGAGGGCCAGAAAGAGGTGAGGACAGGCCTTCTGGGGAGCCCAGACAGCCTTCTCACTGTTCCCAGATGGACAGGTCCCCTGAAGCCACCGGCAGCCAAAAACTCCCTGGGCTGCTCCTTGTCAGATCAGGGATCCCTCCCCAGTGCCCTGGGGACGCAGCCGTGGGTCAGATCAGATCCC